AGGTACTCAAGCGAAAGGAGGGGGAAGTGGGGAGAGGCAAGGGAGAAATAAAAAGAAACAGAAAAAAAGCAACACCAGCAGCCAATAAATGGCAGTCAGAGAGCCACCTGTTAGGGTGTGTGGAATCCAAGCAGCCGCTGTTTCCTGGTCAAGAGACTGTGGCCGCAGGAAGCAGAGGAGGCTGAGTCAGGGTGAAGAAGGGTTGGGGGTGGGAAAGCGTATGTCGCCAATTACCAGTTGTTTTGTCTCCCGCTGGAAGCTCTGTGAGGCTGCTTTCTCGTACCCCGTGTTTGCTGGTCTCCGATAGGAGTCCAAGATGGTGGATCCGCGCTGTGTTAGCTGGTAGAGGACCTCTGCATGAATCTCTCCTCGCTCTCCATTCTCTGTCAGTTTTCTCACTCCATTTGGTGCTTGGCTGAGTTCTTTATCTCTTCATTTGATGTTTTAGGGTTTCAGGATTGTTGTTTTCTCTGTTCGGCTTAGTTTTTCAGATCTTTGCTGTGGAGGGACGGCGTGGTGCTTCTGCCTAGAGCACCATTTTTTTCTCTACTCGATGTTTTAATAATCTTGTTGAAAATAGCCTAGATACAACTTACACTAATATAACTGGAAAATGATTTCTTTTCAGTCAATCTTTTCTCTCCTGTCCCTTCCTCTCCCTCCCCTCTCCTCTTTTTTGTCTGGCACTTGTCAATTCTCTCACATTGTTTGTGCCTTAGCTGTGTGGTGTAGGATTACAAGTACACTTTCAAGTGGAGACAGAAAATATACTATCTTCATGGATTTAAAAATTCAACATCTATAAAATAATGTAATATTAACTGCAAATTTTAACATACTTTTACTTCTACCCAGTTGAGTTGTCTTTTAATCACTTACTAAACTGTAGGTATTTTCCAGAGTTAAATACTTTAAATGAATCAGATGCTACCAACTCACATTGAGGCTTACTTATTAAAATACTAATAATAACAACAATAATAAATATGTCAAGTTGAATTACTTGCAAAACAGAACAGTCCAAAGGTTGTTAAAGTTTAAAATAAGTAACTGCCCTCTTTTTTACTATAATTTGCCCAAGGGGCAAAAGAATGTTTGAAAAATTCTTATATTTAATCATGAAAGCATCTTATATTTAATGCTTTAATTTGCAGATGGGGAGGAAATTTGTCAGGATAATTATTTCAATATTAAATTAATTTTTCATATATAAACAATTATGGTATTAAGTATATGTAAGATACAATTGAATATGCATGGTGGTTCCCCTAAATCAAGGGTTCTGTAAGTGGCCCACAAGTCCAGTGTGGCCCCTGGACCAGTAGAATGAGTATCACAACACTTGGGGATTTGTAAGAAATGTAAATTCTTGAGCACTGCCAAAGACCTACTGAATTAGAGACTGGGAATGGGGCCCAGTAACCTGTATTTTAACAAGCCCTCCAGGAGATTCTGATGCGTACTTAAATTTATGAACCACAGCCTTAAGTCGGTGGTTCTCAAACCAGAGTGCACATTAAAACTACTTAGAAAGCTTTGAAAATACTGATTCCTGAGTCCCACCTCCAAAGATTCTTAATTAGTCTGTAGTGAGGCATGGGTGTTGACTTTTCTTATAAATTGCCCCAGGTGATTCAATTTATTGACAGCTAAAGTTGAGAAGCAATGCCAAGTTCTATCCTTGAAAAAAAACTGACAATTCAGTTCCTTGACACAAGGTCCACTTTTAACACAAGCTTCATAATTTGAACATATTCCCTCTTTGCTGTATCAATTTACAACTTGTCCATTCCACATGTGAAAAGTACTTTAAAAAGTTAAAAAAAATTGCTTAAAGATTAAGGCAGAATCCTCAGAGGGCCTTCCTAATCATGTATTTACTCACATAAAATCTCAGCCTAGAAGGTACAATTAGCTTGTAAAGGCAAATGCAAGTAAAATGAATTAGGTTTGTAAACAGGTATTAGAGAATTCCACTGAAGATTTGATCCTCAGTGGCAGTACCTTCAGCTCCTAATAACTACCCAAAGCATTTCTAATCATAGACTTTTCATGTTTTTAAATACAAATTTTAACATGATTTGCGGTGTAAAACAGTAGGTGTTAAAATAACAGAGGTTGTTCATGGAGTTGAAGTGTAAAAAAAAAAGATCGCTGAATCTTCTAGTAGGACTAAAACTATGGGAACTTGGCCTGTCTCAATGGAAAAAGTAGAACATGATTAGTTCAGATTTTATAATGATCCTCAATAAAAGTGGGAATTAATTTAAACTATATTCATTTCCAGATTAGTGCCAAATAGGGTGATGACTTATTTTTTTAAAAGTTGCAGTAAATTGAACAGTTTACAATTTTCTTTGTCATCTTGTATTCTATGCAGGAAAATTTCTGTGATTAGAGAGATCCATGCCATTCTGTCTTAAAACTTTAGAAGAATGCATCTATTTGAGTTTTTCTGTCAGTTTCTCTTCTGATATAAATTTTGATTTAAAATAAAATTCTGAAAGGTAAATGTATATTACTGAGGAAAGAAATGTGTTTGGAGAGAAACATGTTACCTATGTTATAAAGAGGAGAGGGTATCAGGGCTAACACATTCAAGTGTTACACTGATATTCTATAAAAGCTGACCATATTTCAGAAATAAAACTATCTGGCTGCTAAATTAGACAATGTGTTTATATCCAGTCCTGATTATTTTCCTACATTGTGCTTGAGGTTATTTCAGACTATTGTATCTGTATAGTTGAAATACCATATACGGTGTCCTCCTATGCATTTTTTTCCAATTCCACATTCAGTGAAGTCATGTTGGTAGCTTGAAATCAGCCATGGTGCGAGTATTTACACCATGGAAATGTGCAAACGCTACATCATGGTGCCCCTTCCCCTCCCAGGGAATGTTAAAACATTTACCAACACACCAGTGAATAAAACCGATTATAGACATATGTGCATTTAAATAAGATATTCATGGTAGTATAATGGCTTTTTCTGCCCTCTACTTGTTTCCCATCCATTACTTTCCAAAAAAAAAATCAACCCGAAATGGCTGGTTTTTAGTTTCAGGCATATCTGAATTCATAGCTTTGTTCTGCTATTTACCATACTTAGGATCTTATACAAGTTGCTAACAGTCTCTAAGTATCAATTCTCTCATCTGTAAAATGTCAACAGTAATGTTTTCATAGATTTGTTATAAAGAAAATACACGTTTGCCAAGAAATATTAGTTCAGTCCATTCTCTCCAACCTCTCCTCCCCTTACCTCATGAAGGATATGTAAGTTTGCTGTTATGATTTTTTAGATTATTATCGAAAATGTTAGTTTTTCCCTTACATTAAAAATGAATTATCATTAAAACAAAGAAAAAGCTCTTGCCCTAGACCTATGACTAAAAACAACTAAGATCAAAGACCTAACGGACATTCTCTAATGAGCTCATACTTTATATTCCTATTCTATATTGTTTTCACATAATTTCTTGCCTGAACTGGGACTGATTCCAGGGCCTCTCTGTGTTTAACGTTTTCAGGTTGCTCGTTAGCTTTCTCACATACTCTGGATAGGTATACTGAGAACATGAAATGAGTCAAGGTTTTTTAAGAAGATAGAGTCAACAGTGAAGCCATCTCAGCCAGCTTTGGACCACATGATTAGTCTGGACAGCAGAAAGGAGAGGATACACTGCCCAACCCCCTTCATTGGCCAGTCTCCTATAATTTTACATGTAAAATGCACCAATAATTGTGATTGTGTGATTCTTTATTGCTTTTTCCCTCACCACTTTTCAATCCTATTCACTTCTTTCCCATATCAATTCATACTATTTGTTTTTATACATACTTTATTCAGGTCTACAGGCAGTTGAAAGAGTACTAATGAAAATATCTAAAAAAAAAAGAAAAAGTTCTAGGTAAACAAATTGTCTACCTTAGATACCTGTAAAAACTAAACCCACTGCCATCGAGTTGATTCCACCTCATAGATACCCTATAGGACAGAGTAGAACTGCAGCTGGTGGATTTGAACTGCTGAACTTTTGGTTAGCAGCTGAGCTCAAAACCAAAATGCCACCAGACTCCACTGTGCCACCGGGCACCTTAAATGGAGCCATATAAATTGAGGGAAAAATTAAAAAAAAAAAAAAATTTGAACTGTTAGAAGTATTATAATACAGGGTTAAATTATTAAAACTTTATATTCAATTGTATTATACTTTTTGAATAATACGCTATGCATGTCTAAAGTAAGAATAAAGTTTGCCCATTTCAATTTTAAAAATCCATAGCCTTGCCTGAAATAAAATACAAGTCTTAGAAAATCCAGTTCATTCCCTCACTGTGTTCCACTATACACTTTCAGACAAATGATAGTAAAAGATACTGATCCATAAGTACAAATGAGAGTAACTAAATCTGCAACTTTATGTAACAATGAATTTTATTGTTTTCAAAAGCAGGAAAGTTTCTGGAAATTTTGCCATTAACAAAAACATTATGTTAAACTGTCAGTAGTCCGTCAGACTTGTATGGCTCTAAAGAAAGCAAGCAAATGATTGATGAACCATGTAATCTCAACCTCTATTGTTTATTGTCCCCAGAAAACAATCTTTACATGCCAAGAAACATGTGTGTCCTCATTTACTCCACATGTTTCTCAATGAGCTATTCTGTTTGAAAAGTTTAATCATTACAGACATAAAATTTATACAGGCCATTTGAGAATGTCCTGTTAGCCTTGTAATAACCACTTCCTAATAAAATCTACAGTGTTTGTATTCATTTATTTCTGCTTAGGATATGAGTACTGCCTCATGAATGGAATATATTCTGAAGTTATTATTAACGTAAATACTCAAACCTAAAAGGCAGTAATACAAAGTAACATATTTTCTGCCTTGTTGACTTGTAGTTACAAAGAAATAGTCTTTTAAAAGAGTTTATAGTGATAGAATCTTCTGACACAGTCTTTATTAACACATTTTACTCATAACTTACCACAAGATGCCATTTCATCTGTCTGGTCACCACAGTCATCTTCTCTGTCACACAGCCACGCTCTGGGAATGCAGCGTCCATTTCCGCAAGAAAACTGATCCACTTGACACGTTCTGGCTATGAGGGTCAATTAATATACATCAATTAATATACAAAGAATACATTTTAGAGATCCTTTAAACAACATTAAACATAAAATAGTATCATGCAGTATCTATTTTATCCATACAGTCATTATATGGCTCTATTAAGATAAAATATTTTAAAATAAATTTTTATTTAATTTTTTACAATACCAGCTTGTTTGTCTTCTCCAAAGTTCACATACTTCACCCTTCAATTAAAGTGACTGCTAAGTAACAAGATAATCAGTAATCTTCATACACTTTCATGAATGAAGTTATGAATTCATTATTTTAAATTGTTTTTTGCCTGACACATGCTTATGACTATATGGTTGAATTAAATTTAGTCCAAATATTAATTAATGAAAAAGAATTTTGCAGAGTGTTTCCCAATAAACCAAGAAAACTTTTTGCTGTAATGTAGGAAAAAGCAATTGGAGAATAGAAAATGGTATCTAATTTTTAATTACGGGGTCAGAATTGTCCTTTTCTTTTAACATTTTCAAGGCATTTACTTCTTCATCTCTAAATGCTTCAATGATATGGATCAAGAATGTAGAAAATGTTTTCTAAAATATACATTTACCCTTAAGATGGATATTTTTAAACTCACTTTCAGCACAGTTACATAAAAATGTATGACTTTTTATTAAAAATGTATGACTTTTTAATGAAAGTATATTGATGAACTTTGCTTTGGGCTCTCTGAAGGACTTCGATGAACACAAACATGGAACTTTGCTTTCTCTGTTAGCTAAAGGCAGTGGCTTGATATTATTAAGTAAAGAGATTTTTTTTTTACAGGGAATTTGCCTGCCTTTTTCTATTACAATCAGGTCAACTTGTTACAGCATAAAAGCTTGGATAGCTCCACCCCTTCCCCCTCCCCCCACCTCCGGCCCATTACTGCTAGGCTTTAGGGTGTTGCATATTTATTTTGTTTGTTTTTCTTTGGCTTTTTTTTCCTCTCTCTCTGTCCCTCTGAGCTACAAATTCGTCTTCATGAATACCAGTATCTCATCCACTGTTTCTTTTCATTGGGCCAGAGAAGGGAATGGAATATGTTGAGAAAGGGATTCTCAGACCTAGGAATATTATGGTTAGCTAAAATTTGGACAAGCGAGAACAACCAGTTGAGGCCTGGGTTTCTATGGCTATGATATGAGCACACTGTTTAGTTTATAAACTTTGTTGTGTTTTCTGAGCTTGAGAATCATAAGGTTGTGCTTCTGTTTCATCAAAACACCTTACGAACTTGGGTGATGGTGGTTGGGATAAAGTGGAGAATGTTTCATAGTCAAATAATCCAAACTCACTACAACAGGTTTCCTAAAATGAGCTTCCAGAGGCCATTTAGAACAATTTCTTAAAAGATATATACCGAGTGACTTCCTTTAAGCAAAGTGTCCTTGCAACATAAAAATGTGTATCCATTATGAGTACATACTTTAAAGATAATTCAAGAAAAACAAATGGAAAATTTACAGGCTCAATTTTATATATCGGACAGGATATACCTTTTCTATTCTCATTGTCTATAATTAGAAATACAAGGAACCTTCGTTCACTATGTGTTTTGCTTTGTCTATCTCCTTAAGGGATCTGGATCTAAAATATTTTATGCAATATCAGATTTTTTCCTTTTTTTGCAAATAATTAATTTGTTTTAAATAAGCAGATTTTAAGTATTCCAATAAATAGGTATGCTTTTGAATGTTTTTAGATAGAAATTTCAAATAAGGGTAAATATTCCTATGTTGCCTAATTTGGCTAATTTTACAGATTTTTGTTATATTTACATTTAACAAAATATAGAATGAAATTTAACATTTAGAGTAAAATTAATAAAATGCCTAGCCAATTTTTACAAAAAAGTGTATATTTGTGAAAAAAATATTTTTATTAACCTAGAGAATGATGTAAAAGAATAAACACAAAATGTTGGCATTAGTTTACTTGCTGAGAAGGGGATGAGAATAAAGAAGGTGTGAAGAAAATAATTAATTTATCTTGCATATATCTGTATTATTTCACTAATTGCAGTAAACACTTTTTAACTTTTGATTTTTAAGAGAAATTTAATGAGCATTTTCTTTTTTCAGTCCTTCCTTCCTTACTTTTCTTTTCTTTTTTCCTATATCTTTCTCTTCCTCCCTTATTTCATACCTATTCCCTTCCTTTGGTCTTTCGTATTATCTTACTTTCAGAAAGAAGATACAGATTTTAATGTTAAGTTTTAATTGGCCCATAATAAGAATAAATTAAATTTATCCAACCTGATATCTTTCATTCTATTTTCTTCTATCACTGTATTCTCCTCTAATCATTCAGGTTTAATTCTAGCAAAGTTTTCTCAAACTATTTGCTTTCATTAGGAGAGCTAAGGTAGTTATATAGAGGAGAATGAGGAAGAACTTCTAAGCATCTGGTGTATGACATATCTCACATTATGATGGTGAGGAGATCTGTGTGTCACCTCATTAACTCCAAGGCTTGACAAACTGTTATGACTCCAAAGAGTATCCACTGGCTTATTATGGAGGGATCCTATACCCTGAAAATAAACAAAGTCATTGTCTATTCTACTCATGGAGAAATTGATTTACTTAATCTACCAGGCAAATTTAACTAATTGCAAATGAGAAAGACACTTCATTCCATAAATCTTCAAGTTCTGTTGACATGATATAATCAAATGGACTAAATTATCACTTTCTAATCTCCAGGATAGGAGCCCTGGTGGTGCAGTGGTTAAGAGCTATGGCTGCTTACCAAAAGGTCAGCAGTTCCAATCCACCAGCCACTCCTTGGAAATCCTATGGGACAATTCTACTCTGTCCTATAGGGTTGCTATGAGTCAAAATTGACTCCATGGCAACGGGTTTTTTTTGTTTTTTTTAAATGTAGGGTTGCTTCGAGTTGGAATCAACTCAACAACAATGGTTTTGGTTTTTGGTTTTTTACTCCCTGGATGTGGCATAGTGAAGGTACAAGCTTTATTTTCTGTGATTCTTGTCTCACCAGATCTATGTTAGTTTGGAAGTAAGATTAGCAGAGCCACCCCAGAGGACTACAATTTGTAGCAAATGATGCTTTAATAAAGAGGAGATTTACATTTCCTCCAGTGGAAATATTTATCTAGTAGGTGAATCAAAGATTCAGTCACAATGTGAATTTTCTCTACCCATTACTATTCATGTTTTTCCTGCAGCCCTGTAGCAGTGAGAAATTCCACAAAGCAGTATAGAGGAGGAGAAGAACAAAGAGTAACACATTATTCCTAAACTTCACCTTGCTGCAATTTAATTAAAGCATTTATTCAAAGTATTCTATTTAAAAGAAACCTATATTATATCAAAATTCACTCTTTAATTTATCTTGTAAAAAGTCTGATCTTTAATACATCAGGTTTTCTTAGTGCAATTACACCTATCTACTGTGAATTTGTAGTCAGTAGGTGGTTCAAACAATTAACACACTTGGCTGTTACCTGAAAGTTTGGTGGTTCAAGTCCACCCAGAGGCGCCTGAGAAAAAAGGCCTGGAGACCTACTTCTAAAAAAACAGCCATTGAAAACCCTATGAAACCAATAGAGGATCCTAGACAGAGCTGTAGAAAGATGTAGAACAAAATTGTAATTCACAAAAAGAAGACCAGACTTACTGCCCTGATAGATACTGGAGAAATCCTGAAAGTATGGCCCCCAGACACCCTTTTAGCTCAGTAACGAAGCCACTCCTGAGGGTCACCCTTCAGCCAGAGATTAGATAGGCCCATAAAACAAAACAAGTCTAAAGGGGCACACCAGCCCAGGAGCAAGGACTAGAAGGCAAGAAGGGACAACAAGGACAGGTAAGCTGGTAATAGAGAACGCAGGGTCGAGAAGGGAGAGTGTTGACAAGTCATGGGGTTGGTAATCAACGTCACACAAAAAAAGAGAAAACCTCATGAAGCACAGTTCTACTCTGAAGCACATGGGGTCAACACGGCTGGAATAAACTAGGACAATTTTTTTCTTTTTCTTTTTTTTACTATGAATTTAGTAAAAATTTCTGGATGATGTGAGAATGAATACTGCATAATCTAAGTAGAGTTCTACATTTGGGGGCTGTTGGCTTCTAAATGTCTAGGCTTGAATCTAAGGATTACTATGAGAAAAAAAAAATCCAAATCTGACTACTTGTCTTTGATCTCTGGGTCTTTCTCATAAATCAACAAAACTATTTAGGGTGTTCATGGAAAACCACTACTGAGCCCCCCAGTGTGTCAGCTCTTTCCTGTCCCTTGGTTTACATATATGCTAGTTCTCTTCCAGCCATCTCTCTTACTATCCACTCTTCTTCCAGCAACCTATGCCAACCTCTTATCCTTTTTTTTCCTTCCAATGTAATATATCTATCACATAGAAAAGTATAGGAAATAATGTCATTAACACCCAATTACCACCATATAGCTATATCAAATTTTAGTATTTTTCTATATTTGTGACAGACTTTTTGTTTTGTTTTAATGAAAAATATAATTACATTTGAAACCCCCTATGTAATCTTTCCCAATTGGATTTTCTCCTTTTCTTTCCCAAGGTAACCATTATCCTTAATTTGTTGTCTTATTTCATTTCTTAACATATTTTTAACTCTATTTCTACACATTTTGATTCAGAAGCACTATATAGAATTGTTGGGATTTTTTTATACTGCATATAAATGATACTGAATAATTTATATTCTGCAACTTGATTTTTTAAACAGTTTTTGGAATTTAGTCATGTTAATACATGAGTTCTAATTTATTTAGTTTAATTATAAATAGTATTCCATTATATGAACATAACACAATCTATCTACCCAATTTATTGTTAATGGGTATTTGAGCTTCTAATTTTTCAAAGTTACCAGCATTAGGGCAATGGACATTCTTATTCTTGTCTACTTGAGCACACATATTAGAGTATAAACCTAGAAATGGAATTACAGTTTAAAGTGTATACAC